TTATCATCGACGAGCCAAATCCTGTGCACTTCACATCGAAAAGGCCCGCTCTATCAGTGAGACAGCAGAATCTGCCAGATGAAGGCTCGGGGAAAGGACTGGGAGTAAACTGTTTGAGGAGAACGGTTGGTGAGTCCAATACATAGGAGACGGACACAGAAGAGAGATGGGATTGTCCAGAATTGAGAGATCCACAAGCAGATACAGAGACCTAGTGACAAGGAAGAGAGTCCCAGAAAGATGGAGTGTGAGTGATAAAGATGGAAAAATAAGAGTGGGCACCAGCAGCCATGATCTCACCCTCTGCTCCGCTCTTTGGCACCGTCTTCCAGAAAACTGCCCTTTCGCTGAAAAATGCCAAGTGCACCACATTCCAGCAGCCACACAAAGGCCCTCCCTCGTCTCAGCTGCACGGGCACAATCAGACAAGGGATAATTATATAATTAGGCTGGCTGGTGGCAGACAGGGACCCTCAGATGGTGTGTTGGTGTGTCATATTTACGTTATCAGACAATGAGGAGAGTTTGGCCTTATCAGAGGAGGCAGCGGCAGAATGTGTGTGTGTGGGGTGTGTATGCCCCAGCTGCGACACTTAGGACCAGATTGTCACGATAGAGAATAATAGTGGGTCGATACAATGACCTTCACTCCGTGGCAGGGCAGGGATCAGAGAATGCGATATGTGACGACGAGGTGGGGACTTTTTTGGGGGCTCCAACAAGCTCCATTCTCCAGGACTGAAAAATTAGGACAAAGTGGAAAGGCTTAAAATTGCAGTTCTTCGAATGTCTACTTGAAGCTGAGTACAAAAATCAAACCTTTGCTGCTTTTTTACAACCTGGTCTTAGATTTTTTTAAAGGCCTTTTCTATGACTGAGGAGTGCTGACCAGTGCTGGGTGTAACGAGTAATCACATTACATATCTCTGTAACACTATAATATGAAGTTGCAGCTACTAAAAATAGAATTATGTTGTTACTTGAGAGGCACAAGTTTATCCAAAGGGCTGTTCGATATAACGATATTTATCGGCTGACGATATAAAAACATCTATCGTTTCATTTTACGCTATTGTTTGTTTCATGGTGTCGCAAAATAAACTGTCTACGGCAATATTTTTTCATGGTTTTGATGGTCACTGTAGTGACTATATTAATTTCTTAAAGTTCTCTCTTTCTCTTATATTTAATATAACCACACTACAGACGGACAAGCGCCTGTTTTTATGCGTTGTCGTTAGCAACAACGACGGTAAAACCATCGCATGTCCGCTTGTTTATTTTCCACATAAACTTTTCACAATAAAGTTCAAGATCCTGTTGAGACTTTTCAGAATAAACTGAATCACGTGAAACAGTATGCAAAGTGTTTACGGATGAGAAGCAAAAAAGAGCCGTCAGGTGCTAAAAAATAAACCTTAGACTCAAACGTTAGAACAGGCTTTCCCCCGCAGCACACTGTGTAATAAATACTCACAAAGAAAACAGCGGCCGTTACAACTTATGTCTAAAAATGTGTAGTTTCATGCATCGGTTAAAACATTCGACTCCAGATACATAACGCCCAGCTGGAAACACTTCACGCAAGTCGAGCTGCCCGAGATTCACAAAATTTACAGAAAATGTGAAATTTTTGTGATTTATATCGTTATCGGGACGATAGATGTCTTATATCGGGATATGAGATTTTGGTCATATCGCACAGCCCTATTTAACCATAATCTGTTTGATGGGTAGACAAGTTAAAACTCCTCTGCAGGACAAAGATAGCAGAGGAGTAGAGATATACACATGAATGTGACAGTAATATGCAAAGTGTGTGCAGAGCAAAAACAGCTATCCACCTCTATGCTAACAAGACACCAGCTAGCACCGAGTATTTGCAAAAGCAAATGTTACTATCCATCATGCTAACCCCCACATGGAGAGCAATGCTAAAGCTAAATGCACGTCAAACTCCATCAAGCAGTCACAGGTTTATTTTCAGCAGGTAGTAAAAGAAAAAGTTTCCTTCTAATATTGTCGGTCTTTACCTTACAATGTGAAGCTCCTTGACATGACTGCTGTTGTGAATTGGCACTATATAAATAAAAACTGTGTTGAAGTGTCACTATCTAACTCAAGTTAACTGTTGCTATTGTTTTTGTATTTAGAGCAAATAATAGTTGAATAAACACAGACACCACTGTCTTTGCAGTTAACTTGCAAACCATCCACCAAAACTGTGCTCCAATTTGGGTCAATGAAACTTTTTGTTTCATTTGTATGTCAGTGTTTGCATGATAAACTCGTACAAGAATACGCTGTGCAAACTAAGGCTCAAGTCAAACAAGTCCAGAGATTGGTCAGTGATCATCTGGGAGCCACCGACTGCAAATGGACCGCACTTGCACCGCTTGGTGTAGATGGACAGCAGGTCAGGGAGCTCTGATTGAATGATGCGTTCGGCTGAGCGCACCACTCTGCAGATCTCGTCTGTCCTGCTTGGTGCTGTTCCCAAACCAGGTGCAGATGTTTGCCGTCAGGACGCTCTCGATGGTGCAGCAGTAGAAGTTCTTGAGCACCTTCAGTGGCAGATGGAAGTCTCTAAGTCTTCTGAGGAAGAAGAGACGCTGACGGGCTTTCTTAACCAGGGTGTTGGTGTGGCAGGACTATGACAGGTCCTGAGTGATGTGGACACCCGGGTATCGGAAACTGTCCACTCTCTCCACTGGCGTGCCACTGATGATGAGGGGTTTGTAATTCCTCGACTGCTTTGTAGTGAAGTCCACGATCAGCTCCTTAGTCTTGCTGATGTTTAGGAGGAGGTTATTCTCCTGGCACCAGGTCTCCAGGTTCCTAATCTCCTCCAGGTAGGAGGAGGTCTCGATGGCTCCAGGTCTCGATGTTGCTGGTATACATGATGCACTGAAAACCTCTTGGAGAGTTCTTTGATTGCTAGCAGATTGACACGGTCACCTGCAGTTTGCAAGAAATTGTTTACCTTCAAAGTTAAGTAAAGTTGGACTTTTTAAAAAGTGTGTGTTGTAGCCAAAAGGTCCAACTTTTACTTTGAAGGTAAACAATGTCCATTTCTAGTTTGCATCACGCTTTTTCATGTTTCACTAAATAGGCCTGTGGCCAGCAAATGTTTGCAGACGAATAGGCCTTTTCTATGCAAACTGTAGGTTATCATGGCAATTTGTTAGCGACCAAGGCAGAAAGATAGAAAGTTTTTGGTGCAGCAACCTTTTTGCTATCAATTTCATCTGGTGCCAGCCAATAATATCCAGCAACCACTCACGAAATATATTTTTCCCTAGTGGAGCTCACCAGGGTGTTGCCAACCAGACTCAAAGCCTGTGGCCAAGGCCTATGATTTGTAGTATTTGCTGATAACTCCAAGCTGTTACCCAAATATGGTCACTTATGGCAACAAAA